TTCCCGCCTGTTCCGGCCCCCGTACGTCCCGATGCTCACAGGGACCGGAAGACGGATGCCGGCATCGGCCAGATGAGATGGCCGGGGACGCTGCACGGGACGCATCGTGGGAGCGCAGGACAAGGTAAGTGATTGAGGGAATCCCAGAGTAACTCTGCAGGGTAATCCCAAGTGTAGCTCGGGGTTACCGCTTTTGGCACTGATAATTAACCCTGAGCTACACTCGGGAATACCGCCAGGGAGGTTAACTGCAATATTCCCATTCCCAGGGGGGAAAAATTCTGTTCCCCACAACGGTATTAACAGTGAATTATATTCCCATCCCCTTTATGTATGAATTCTATCTCATATCCTAAAAACATTACGTGTTAAAGTGCTTGTATTATCTGATGATTTTCTAAACTGTTGTTGGAGCCAAATAATCTTGTCTAACTGTGACTCACTAAGTGTACTTTCCATCTTTGCCCAACTTTTCCCCCGTGAGTTATAAATCCAATCTGCTATTCTTGAAAGCAGCACCAAATAATATCTCCTAAAATCACATTCAGTTTTGTCCTTACACAATACCTCATAACTGACTCTTGGTCTTTTGTTTGCCCATATATACTTAGATATCATCTTTTTAGTTATCTTACAGAATGACCCACGTAAATATATTGGGAGCATATGAAATTTATACAGGACCTTTGGGACTATTATCATTTTTACCAAATTTATACAGCCAATCCAAGAGATTATTCCGGTAGATATTTTCCTCAATTCTTCCTTCAGCTCATTTATTAGTGGAATGTAATTTGCCTGAAAAATATTCTTAACAGCGGGAGTTAATTTTACACCTAAATAATCAGATCCTTCTCCCACCATACAAAGGGAAATGCTTTCTGTAAACTCTGTTTTTCTATCTTCAGAACATTGATATTTAATATCTCTGACTTCGAAGGGTTAATTTTCAAGTTTGATAGTTCTCCATAGTATTTTAAAATTTTTATTAAATTGGGTAGAGTTACTCTAGGGTTCACTATGTAAAATAGCATATCGTCAGCATACGCCGCTACCTTATGCTCCACATCCCCTAGCAACATTCCTTTTACATCTATATTCCTTCATACAGTTGCCAATAATGGTTCCAATTATATAACAAAAAGTAAGGGAGAGAGTGGACATCCCTTTCTGGTTCCATTGTACATTTTAAAAATTTTTGATAACGAATCATTTACCTTGACTGCAGCTGTTGGGGAACTATATAACCTTTTGACCCATTGCATCATCTTAGGTCCAATGCCCAAAGCTTCCAATGTGTCAAACAAAAGTCCCCAATCTACCGAAATCTTTCTCGGCATCGACTGATAAAACAATCGCCAAATGATTTTCTTTCTTACTTTTTTGCAAAAGCAATGAATCCATTCTTTATTCTATTTGCTAGAACTTTTGCATATAATTTTGTATCTATATTTAATAGTGATATGAGCCTATAACTCCTATATTGTAAGCTTGAAAGAGTAGGGCCCTCTAACCCCTCGTGAGCTGTTTGTTGTTGTTGTACTGTTTCATGTATTGTCCCCCCCTCTATTGTACAGCACTGAGCAAACCCTTTAGCGCTATATAAACTCGATGTAATAATAATAATAATAACTAGCACATTGGGACAGATCTTTCCCGTCTTTTGGTAAAATTGCAATATATGCCTGCAATGACTCCTCTCTCATTATCATTCCCTCACTCAGAGAATTCATGTATATACACATCTTGGGCACAATTAGTTCCCTTAATTTCCTGTAATATCTCAACGTATATCCATCTGGTCCTGGGCTTCTTCCTGCTGCTGTATTGTTAAGAGTTGTATAAATTTCCTCCTTCGTAATAGGCTTATCTAAAACTGCTGCTCTCCCCTCCTCTAATCTAGGTAATCCAGCCTCTTTTAAGTATGCCTGTATTTTTCCCTTTCTTTCTTCTGATTATTTTGGGTTTTTAGATTTCATTTCGTATACAATACTATAATATTGTTGAATTGTTTTAGCGATATTAGTGGTTGAATGTACCATTTCTCCATTCTTATCTTTAATTTTCTCTATATAATTTCTTGATTTCTTTTCTCTCAATCTTCTCATTAGATATTTTCCTGGTCTATTCCCCCACTGATATCTCTCCTTTGCAACCTTATTAAAAACTCTTCTCATATCCTTTTCCATCAGATCATCAGATCATTTAACGCTTCTCTTTTTTGGGTTATCTTCTGTTGTATCTCTATTTCTATTTTCTCCTGATGTAGTTGTTCTAGATCAAAGAGTTTATTAATTAACAAATTCTTTTTCTTTCCCCGTTCTTTCTTTTTTTCAGCCCCCATTGAAATCAGAATTCCCATAATATAGATCTTATGTGCTTCCCAGATAGTAGCTATGGAGACCTCTTCTGTCTCATTAAGCATCAGTGCCAGCTGTCAGTGCTCATCCATGCCACCTGCCAGTGCCCATCAGTGCCACATATCAGTGCCTACCAGTGCACATCAATGCCACATATCAGTGCCCATCTGAGCTGCCTTTCAGTGCCAGTCAGTGCCACCTATAAGTGCTGCCAATCAGTGCGCCCTATCAGTGCCGCTTATCTGTGTGCATCAGTACCGCCTATCAGTGCGCATCAGCGCTACCTAACAGTGCCAGTCATTGCCGCCTATCAGTGCCAGTCAGTGCTGCCTATCAGTGCCACCTATCAGTGCCATATATGAGTGCTGCCTTTCAGTGCCCATCAGTGATGCCTGTCAATGCCTATCAGTGCCACCTACCAGTGTCCATCAGTGCAGCCTATCAGTGCCCATCACTGCAGCCTCATTAGCGCACATCAGTGAAGGAGAAAAATCACTTATTTACAAAATATTATAACAAAAACTAAGAAAAAACTTTTTTTTTTTTCAAAATTTTCAGTGGTTTTTGGTTTGTTTAGCAAAAAAATAAAAAATCCAGAGGTGATTAAATACCACCAAAAGAAAGCTCTATCTGTCTAAAAAAAATGATAAAACTTTCAAACGGGTACAGCATTGCATGGCCGAAAGCTGAAAATTGGCCTGGGCGGGAAGGGGGTTTAAGTGCCATGTAGGCAAGGGGTTAAAGGGGTTTCCAGAGTCTGATCAATTCCCAGTGCACACCTCCACATTCACTGGGTCAGAGATGAGGGGAAGAGGCTCGTTCATATCAACATAGGGACAAGGTGCTTGGCCAGATGGGCCCTCCTGGCAAGGTACCTTCCCTGTGGCCTGGTATGGTTCAGGAGGAGGTGGAATGCATGTTCACCAGATAAGGATCTGGTATGGATTTTGAGGTTGACTGTATGCTTTTCTTTTCTTGTTTTTTTGCATGGACAAAAAATCCATGCCAGACCCTCTGGTTTTGAAGGGGAACCCCAGGTTATTTTGTTTTTTTTTTGTGGGGTCATTTGAGGTTTTTTGTCCGTAAAAATATATATTGAGTATTCCACACAGGGTACAAGTGACAGTACAGTAGAATACATTAATCACGGACAAAGAACAAACAGAGCATCAGCGAGGCTGAGTGATATTTACATTTTTTTTTTAAATTGTTACAAGTCCCCCAGGTCAGTACCTAGCTACCCATTCCCTATGTCCTGTGTTTAAAATCCCTTGCAGATTAGCCTTGAAGATGGCTTTGTTTACAAACAAGTGGAAACTGACCTGGAAATGTAATTTAGCAGCATTTGCTTTCACTTTTGCTTTAGTAAACTGTACAGGTGCACTACTTCACAGTCAAGGCATGATATTGTGTTGTCTGAAAGAATTGTAAATTTTGAATGCTTCATGTTAAGCCTTCTTAAAAAGTCTCTATGCTAATGCCAGAGGCGCTGTTAACAACTACCCGCCCGCCCACATTGTACTGCGGATGGGTGGCAGCTACAGCCACAGCAATGTACCGGTACACCGCTGTGGCTGTACCAACAAATAGGGGGGGCTGCACGCCCCCTCCACTAGCGCTGTGTCGGAATGTGGATCCTGGTAATTGGAATCCTGTGATCATGTGATCGCTATGCCATCTTCCTGGTGAACTGTGACTGTTGAGCTGTGACTGGTCCACAGCTCTCACTTGATACATGGGCCAATCACAGCACTCTGTACCATGTGATTAGCTTTATCCAATCACAGATCACTATTATTTTGAACTGTCATGAACTTAACCCATTCATGACAGTTCAAAGCAAGCATTGCATTGCATAAGCAAATAATCTTTTTTGCTGTAATGCAAAGTATAAAAAAAAAAAAAGAAAATCCCTGATCAGCCCCCCAGAGTAGTACACTGTTACTATAGTAACATTGAACTACTCTGATAAAAGTAATTCATTAGTAAAAAAAAGAATTTTGTTTTCTAGTTTATTTTTTTGCTAGTTGCTGACCGATCACCTGCAATGTGCAGGTGAGCTGCGGCTCTGGGCAAAGTGATGTACCTTTACGTCACTTTCTATTTCCGGGTGTGAGCATACATGTGTGCGCCCTCCGCTGCCCCCCTGTTGGTCCAGGGAGAGAAGTTAGAACACCACACTGTGAGTAAAAACACAACATTTTACAAACACACATTAGTTTAACCCTATGATTGTCCCAATTAACACTTTTGATCACCTGTCACTCAATCAGTGCCATTAGTACAGTGTCGGTATATAGAATTTTTCACTAATCACTGTATTACTGCCACTAGCAACATCAGATAGAGTCAGGGTCAGTTAGTACCCCTCCCATCCAGGGTCAGCTAGCCTTAGATTGCCTGCACACTCTCGCACTCATGCTATAGGTCGCTGATCACCGCTATTACTAGTATACTGTGTGTACGGATCAATATTTTGATCATGAACACAACTATTCTAATGCCTCCTTAGTATAGTGTCCCCAAAACTCAGTGTTAGGAAGGTCAGCCCCATTTTCTGCCAGCACTAGCGTTTAGACCCTCTGCTATTTTTCACAGAAGATTTGTATGACTTGATTGTGGACCAAAGTATTTATATGCACAACCAGGGGTGGACTGACCATTTGGAAACTCAGGCACTGCCCGAGGGCCCGGGGTCAGTAGGGGGCCCCATGAGATGCCCCTGGTACCTTTTTCATAGGCTTTTTTGAGTTTTGGCAAGGGCACAGGGGCCCCATGATCCCTTATTGCCCGGGGGGTCCCATGAGTTGTCAGTCCGCCCTTGTGCACAACACATCGTTGCCCACCCATATTTAACTTTTGTCGGACAATTCACATAGAAACCTTTCACGGTTTCCGAATGTAAAACTTTTTTGGGCCTTGTCACGATCGCACAATCGCTGCCACCAACATGCGACGTCCAATTTGTCACGATCGCGGCGTCAGACCCCAGACCTTCTCACCAAACTCGTGAGCGAAGGACTAGCCAATCTAAAACCGCGATGTGACGTGCGTAACAATGCCACACCCAGCTGCACCCTGCACAATGATTTTCCAGCTAACGGACCACAATCGATGTACCGGCAGTCGGGGCGATTGTTACTGGGTCAGGTTAATTACACAATTAACCCTTCACACTGCCACCACCTCCTTTTTGTACAGAGAAAGAGGAAACTCGGCAATATCAGCTATAACACTATAATGAATTAAATAATCATCTGCATAACACGGTCATAACACAGGCCTGTTATACAGAGGGTTAAACAAACAGTAGCGTCTCTTTAGAGGCAGGGATTCGTAAATTGCAATAAAGAGCTATAGAACAGTTCAACACTTTCAGAAAGAAAGATTTATTACTAATAGGTCAAACGGGTGTAAAAAAAATATTACAGAAAAAATATGTAACTAAGATATATATATACATATACAAAGAACCATAGCACAGCAAAGAGATATCAGAGAGAGGTGAAAGGGTTAAAGTACTTGCCAAAGTCCTGGGTTAGCAGATCCAAGTTTCAGAGCAGAAGGGTGCTTTGATCTCCCTATGTTAAGATGGTCAATGGGAAATTCTTCAACTACCTCATCTTAGGCCTGCCAGCCCAATTTGAAGTTCCCAGCAGGGGGTGTTGCTGAAGTCAAAGGACCAATACCCCGTTTGGGAGGGAACGTCTGGGCGTAGGCCTAAACTAGAGCCAAAATCTTTCCTAACTCATATTTTGGCCCATAACTTCCCATCTGCACAAGTGACATTCCACCCGCGAGTAGATTATTATGCAGACAAGTCTGAGGATTGGTTAGATATGAATTATATAATTCTATACTGAACGGTTCACTAGATCTATTTTTCTGCTTTCCTGTGTATGCGAGACGAGTCGAGTGACCCATCAAACTGTTCGGCTCCTCCTAGCCAAACTGACGGTATGTCTGGTTTTTATGTAAGTTTCTCATATTCCAAGATATGAGACATAGGGGAAAAATGGATTTTGAGGAGTGTTATCTGATTCTGTCACCTACGCTGCATTAGGTTCATTAGGTCAGAAAATCTTTCAACTCCAGAGAAAGCTTGCCTTATCTCTTCTGAGGTGTGAAGTGGCACAGGTTCTCCCAGACAGCCAGGCACCTAGCTCAGAGATGCCTTGGACTGCCAGTGACCCACAACCAGCACACACACACATGCTGGCCAAATGTCTCCTCAGAGAGGGAGGGGGAGGGAAGAATAAGGGGGAAATGGATACTCTTAACAAAATGGAGTCGGCGTCCTTCACTGTGTGTTGCGCACGTTTGCGACAGGCCTAACCGTCAAAATGGGCATTACTAAAAAGAATGAATTGCGGTCATATTAGTCCACAGACCCTATTAATCATTTGACCATGTTCTCTGCTGTTACATACACTGTATGCCCAACAAGAACCAATAATGTACTGGTACATCACTGGACTTTGAGTGGTTATACCAGGATGATGCCTGCAGCTACAGGGATCATTCTGGTATCAATTTTTCAGCTGGTGGTCATCTTTCATGTAAAACCCCATATTTCTCAGAAAAGAGTACCTGTCACTGCCTATTGCTATCACAGGAGATATTTACATTCCATGTGATAACAATAACAGTGTTAAAAAAAAAAATGACAGTGTAAAAAAAAAAAAAACAAAACCAAAATACATAAATTTAAAAAAATTCATCCACGCCCCATCCCCTTGCTTGCCCACACAAGCATCGGTCCCGTATCAGTATGTAAACAGAGATTGCACCATGCATGTGAAGTATCACCAGTGTCAGATCGAGGGCAGTATTTTTATAGCACTTGACCTCCTTTGTAAATCTAAAGTGGTAACCTGTAAAGGCTTTTAACCACCTCCCACCCACCATATAAGGAAATGACGGGAGCGCAGTGGTTCTCTTGTTCTGGGAGGATGTCATATGATGTCCTCCCACTCTAACAGCATGTGTGCACCCCCTGTGGTGCACAGCATGGCGATCGATGGTGCGCTGTGTCCCTGGAACACAGTGGATCAGTGGAAAGAGTCGATGACTTTGGCTGTGTAATATGATCAGCTGTGTCCAATCACAGCTGATTGCATGTAAATAAGGAAATGCCGGTTATCAACATTTCTTTCCTCACGAGCTGTCACGCTGACAGCTCATGATGAGAGGAGAGCCGGTAATCGGCATTCCTCAGAGGAGACATCTACACTTATCATCAGGGCACTGATGATCAGTGTAGCCCCGTCAGTGCCACCTGCCCGTGTCCATCAATGCCACCTGTCATTGCCCATCAATTCCACCTGTCAGTGCCTATCAGTGTACATCAATACCATATATCAGTGCCATGTGAGCTGCCTTTCAGTGCCAACTGTCAGTGCCAGTCAGTACCACCTAACAGTTCCAGTCAGTGCTGCCAATCACTGCCACCTATCAGTGCCAGTCAGTGCCGCCTATCAGTGCCCATCAGTGCCGCCTATCAGTGCCCATCAGTGCCGCCTATCAGTGCTCATCAGTGCCACCTAACAGTTCCAGTCAGTGGCACCTAACAGTGCCAGTCACTGCTGCCTATCAGTGCCAGATATGTGTACTTTCTTTCAGTGCCCATCAGTGATGTCTGTGAATGCCCACCAGTGATGCCTGTCAATGTCCATCAGTGCCACCTACCAGTGCCTCCTCATGAGTGCCCATCAATGCCACCTATGAGTACCCATCAGTGCAGCCTATCAGTGCCCATCACTTCAGCCTCATTAGCATACATCAGTGAAGGAGAAAAATTACTCATTTACAAAATTTTATAGCAGAAACTAAGCAAAAAACTTTTTTTTTTTTCAAAATTTTCAGTTTTTTTTTTGGTTTGTTTATCAAAAAATGAAAAAAAAAAAACAATGGTGATTAAATACCAGCAAAAAAAAAAAATCTGTCTCAAAAAAATTATAAAAATTTCATATGGGTACAGTGTTGCATGGCCGTGCAATTGTCATTCAAATTGCGACAGCTCTGAAAGTTGAAAATTGGCCTGGGCAGGAAGGGGGTGAAAGTGTCTGGTAGGCAAGTGATTAAAGTGTGTGACATAGGGGCGGACTGACCATTTGGAAACTTGGGCACTGCCCGAGGGCCCGAGTCAGTAGGGGGCCCCATGAGATGCCCCTGGTACCTTTTTCATAGGCTTTTTTGAGTTTGGGCAAGGACACAGAGGCCCCATGATACCTTATTGCCCGGGGGCACCATGAGTTGTCAGTCCGCCCCTGGTGTGACATAAAAAATTTCAACATCTGCCATTTTATTCCCTAGGGCCTCTGCTTTAAAAAAAATATAATGTTTGAGGGTTCAAAGTAATTTTCTAGTGTCAGAAAAGGATTGGTCTTTAAGTAGTTAACCTTAGGGTTAGGTTCCCCCCCTTTCTGAGCAGGTCTTTTTTTGCTATTCAGCACTGCGCTATTGCAACTGGTAATTGTGTGGTCATGTAACGCTGTAGTCAAACAAAATGTATGTCTCTTTTCACACTAATAGAGCTTTCTTTTGGTGGTATTAGATCACCACTGGATTTTTTTTTTTTTGTGATATAAACAAAAAAAGAACGAATATTTTGAAAGAATTGATATTTTCTACTTTTGGTTATCAAAAACATCTAATAAACTCAAAGTTAGTCATAAATGTAGGCCAAAATGTATTCTGCTACATGTCTTTGGTAAAAAAAAATCCCAATACCTGTATATTAATTTACTTTCTAACTGCCTATCACATTTCTTGAAGTACTAAAATGCCAGAGCAGTACAAAAAACCCCAAATGACCCCTTTTTGGACAGTAGACACCCCAAAAAATTTGCTGAGGGGCATGTTGCGTCTATGAAAGATTTTACTTTTTACCACAAATTTTTGGAAAATTACAAAAACTTTTTTTTTTTTTACACAAAGTTGCCACTTAAATTATATATTGCTCATGCATGCCATGGGTATATGTGGAATTACACCCCAAAACACATTCTGCTACTTCTTCCATGTATGGGAATACCACATGCGAAAGTCATTTTGGCAGCCTAGCTACATACATGCCCTGAAAATTCAATAACCACCTCCAGGCTTATCAAAGTATTTCCTCATGTCACTTCCTCACTACATATCACAGTTTCTCAGGCCCTAAAATGCCAGGATAGTACAACCCCCCCCCCCCCCAATGATCCCTTTTTGGAAAGTAGACACCCCAATGAATTTCATAAGAGGCATGGTGAGTATTTTTCAGATATCATTTTTTGTCAGAGGGTTTTTAACCACTTCAATACTGGCCACTTTTACCCCCTCCCTGCCCACGTCAATTTTCAGGTTGCAGTGCTCTCACACTTTGAATGATAATTGTGTGGTCCTGCAACACTGTACCCAAACTAAATTTTTATCATTTTGTTCACACAACTAGAGCTTTCTTTTGGTGGTATTTGAAAAAAAAAACAAAACATGTTTTTCTTTGTTTCTGTTATAAAAGTTTGCAAATAAATAATTGCCCTTCATAAATTTAGGCCAAGATGTATTCTGCTACATTTCTTTGGTGAAAATAACCCAAATCAGTATTTATTATTTAGTCTGTAGGAAAGTTATAGAGTTCACAAACTATGGGATATATCTGAAAATTGATCAATCCTGAAGTACTGACAGCCAGCCTAATTTCTTGAGGCCCAAAAATTTCTGAACAGTACAGATATCCCCCAAATGACCCCTTTTTTTTTGCAAAGTAGACAGTCCAACATATTTCATAAGAGGCATGGTGAGTTTTTTTTGTAATTTTTGTGTCATAATTTTTTGGAAAATGAAGAAATTAAAAAAATTATTTTCACAATGTTTTTTTACATACTGTTACCAGTGCAGTACAGCATCATCATCATATAATTGGTGTGGCGGTGATCAGGGACACTGACTGGTGACAATACGAACAAAAAAATGTAATAATTTTTTTTTTTTCTTTGTTTAAGATTTTTTTTTCATATTACACTATGGCCAAAGTAGTATAATGTTACCATAGTAACATTGTACTACTTTGGGGAAGTAGTACACAATTTGATTGCTTATAGCAAAGAATTTTTTGCTATAAGCAAGCATTTAACTGAATGAAATCGATCCATTCAGGTTTTTTTTGTGATTAGCTGTGATTGGCCATGGCTAATCACATGACACAGTTGGGCTGTGATTGGCCCAGCCTGTGCATGTGATCACTGTGACCATTCAAAGCTAGAATGGCAAGCATCTAACTAAATGAAATCGATCCATTCAGGTTTTTTTTTGTGATTAGCTGTGATTGGCCATGGCTAATCACATGACACAGTTGGGCTGTGATTGGCCCAGCCTGTGCATGTGATCACTGTGACCATTCAAAGCTAGAATGGCAAGCATCTAACTGAATGAAATCGATCCATTCAGGTTTTTTTTGTGATTAGCTGTGATTGGCCATGGATAATCACATGACACAGTTGGGCTGTGATTGGCCCAGCCTGTGCATGTGATCACTGTGACCATTCACAGCTAGACACACTTGTATACAATGGATGGCATGAAAGGAAGCCATCCATTGTTTACAACTGTCATGTGACCTGCTGTGATTGATCACAGCAGGTCACATGGTACTGGCAACGGGGCCAGTACACAGATCTGTCATTGGCCGTGTCCGAGATACACAGCCGGTGATAGATCACGCCACAGCGCAGGCCTGCGGGCTCGTGCAAGGTGCGAACGGGGGAAGGACATCATATGACGCCCTCCCGGTTTAATGAGAGGCTTTCCTGGCTCTCTTTTTACTATAGGCCGAGCGGAAAGTGGTTAAAAAGAAAAAAAAGAAAAGAAAAAATTAATTTTCGTTTTCTTGCTTCACTTCCCAAAAAACCTGCGATAACAAATGAGATCTGCAAAATACTCACCATGCCCCCTATCAAATACCATGGAGTGTCTACTTTCCAAAAAGTTGGGGCATTAGAAGCTTATGCCACACAGCACCCATTCTTCTAACCACTTAAAGAAAAAGCCTTCAAGTGGTTAGACGAACAAGCCTTCTGATACTTTTTGTTTACATGAAAAAAACAGTTTTTGCTAGAAAATTACTTTGATCCCCCAAACATTATATATTTTTAATGCAAAGGCCCTAGACTTGAGAATAAAATTATGGGTGTTGCAATTTTTTACGTCACACAATTTTTTTGGAAAACAAATACACTTTTTTGAATGGTAATGCACAAAAACACATTATATTGTTCAATAGTCAAAAAAAGGGATGGGACCGAAACATGGCACTGAATTTGAGAGCAACTGCTCCAATAGGTCATCGAATGTGGGTATAGACATCCAAGTAACTGAAGAATTTTAAGGGATAATGTCACATATCTGCATAGTGCAGTCAACAAATCCCTCATAGGGCCTCTTCAGCAGCATGGGATGTTACCAATAGCCACAACGTTTTTGCTCACATACCTTCCTCCTCCGGCTCTCCACTCTCCTCTCTCCTCACATAAGCCATCATGACAAAGCATGTCATATCATCCCAAAATCGGGAACAAGCCATCGCTTTCCAATGCAAAATCAAAGGAAAAAACACAGGAACACACAGGAAGAACACTGTGATACACACTGCCATTCACTGGGACTGCAAAAGCAGCATGGGAAGCTCAATGCATGCTGGGTTTCAGCAAAGTGTCTTGGGAAATTTCCATGAGTCATGGAAAAAAACAATGATAAAGGATGTAAAACAGATGTAAACAGACCACAAAAGGCTCAAAAATGGATGTAATCGGATACAAAAATGGAGAAAATGGAGGTAAATGGATGTCATTGAATGAAAAATGGATGTCATCTGATGAAAATTGGATGTCAACAGATATGAAAACGGAGGTAAAAAGTGCAGTCTTGATCCATTTAGCTCCAATTTTGAAAAAAAAAAACAAACGCGACTTAACTGATGAAAAAAACAGAACGCCTGTGTGAAAGAAGTAATGACATTCCTACAGTATTAGGTCAATTAAGGTAAAACAATACTTATGTCCTTAAATGTCCCGTTAACCAGGTTTTTGGAGGCATTCTTATAAATTAGTGCTCTACAATAAAGGAAATATTAGTTGCTCCATCAATATACAGTATATTCACCCTACAGAATTACTGTATTTGTGCAGAGCACAGAATATTACCTGGCCAAAAAAATCTAAATTCTTTGATAATGTGAAACAGCTGCAGAAAAATTGGGTTTTGATTGTTAGTGGTGAAAAAACACCATAGCCCTACAAAAATAGTTATGCAGAAGAAAGGATGTTAGTTGCCAAACACTTGACACACTTTGCAGCAGTAAAACAGACGTAAAAAAAATTGGGTGTCCAATGAACAACAGCAATGGGCCCAGTATGAGATGTTAATGGTGGTAGGCCTACAGAGGCGACAGTAGATGTTAACAGTGTCAAGCCAGTAGTGGTAAAAGAAGGTGTTAATGGTGCCCAGATATTCTTGTGAGATCATGGGGTGGCAGGAATTGGGAGTTATTTCAGAC